AGGGAAGGAAAGTCACAGATACAAGGCGTTTTCTAGCATTCAGGGTTAGACAGGATTTGTTTCTGAAAAAGAAACCCAGTTTAACTTTCAGTTTCTTTACCAAGTTTTCCACATGGAGCTTAAAAGAGAGATGTGAGTCGACCAAGATACCCAAATATTTATAGGAATCAACAAACTCAATGGGGACACCATTTGAGGATAAAATCGGAGGAAGAACTGCTGGGACCAACTTCCTATTTGAAAAAAGCATCCCTTTGGTTTTGTCGGCATTTAGGACAAGTTTGAGGCGGAACAAATCAGTCTGGATGTAGTTGAATGCAGAATTCAAAAACTGGAAAGCCTTAGCAACAGTTTTAGCTCGACAATAAACAGCTGTGTCGTCAGCATAGAAATGTATGGATGCATTAGGGATGTTTTTACCTACATTATGTATGTAGATTGTAAAGAGGGTGGGTCCTAAGACTGAGCCTTGTGGTACACCATTGTTGACTGTTAAATAACTGGAGGAAGTACCATTATGTTGAACACATTGCCTCCGGTCTGAAAGATAGTTAGAGAACCAACGAATGGTGTGTTCTGAGAAACCAATTTCTGAGAGTTTATAACACAAGATGTTATGATCCACAGTGTCAAAAGTTTTAGACAGGTCTAAGAAAAGTGCAGCACAATAATCCTTAGCATCCAGTGCTTCAACAACGTCATTAAGAACCTTCAGTGAAGCAGTGGTTGTGCTGTGTTGTTTCCTGAAACCAGACTGATGTGGAGGTAAGATGTTAAATGAGTCCAGGTAATTTTTGATTTGAGAGTTTATCAGTTTTTCTAAAACCTTGGCTAAAATGCAGAGTTTAGAGATTGGTTGATAGTTGTTCAGTGAGGTGGGGTCACCTCCCTTCAGCAAAGGAAGAACAAAGGCTGTTTTCCAAGTGTGTGGGATGGAGTTTTGTCTTATGGAGAGATTGAAGATGTGGGTCACAGGGACTGAGATGATATGAGCAGCCAGCCTTAAGAAATAAGGTGGAAGTTCATCTGGACCTGCAGATTATTTAGGGTCAAGATCTTTTAACAGTTTATTAACCTCACTGACTGAGAATGGAAAAAAGAGAAGCTGTGATTAACTGAGGATTGACTTGTAGGAGGGATTTGATTTGTAGAAGTTTGGTTATTAGGGGAAGTGGCTGATTTTCTGTTAGTAACTGTCAAGAACTAGAAGCAACAAAATGTTTGTTGAAACAGTTCAGGATCACATGCTTATTTGACACAGGAACAGAGTTAATGAGAAGTTGTGATGGGGGGTCAGATGATTGGGGGGTGCCTGAGAGAGATTTGATGGTTTTCCAGAATCTGTTAGGGTCATTTAGATTTTTGGAGGTCTGAGATAAGAAATAGTTGCGTTTTGCTGCTTTGACAGCAGTTGTGCATTTATTCCTCATCTGTCGAAAACTCAACCAATCAGTGTCTGAGTCAGATTTTCTCGCTGCAGCCCAAAGATGGTCTCTCCTGTGCAGGAGGTCAGCTAGCTCTGGAGTAAGCCAGGGGCTGTCTCGTCCCTTTATTCTGAAATGACGAAAAGGAACATGTTTGTTCACGAAAAAAATGAAACTATTATGAAAATAGTTCCAAGCGGAGTTCACGTCATCAGTTAACAGAATATGATGCCAGTCAAAGTGAGACAGATCCCAGAGGAATGACTGTTCACAAAAATGTTTCAGATCCCTTTTTTGAATTAATCTGGGCTTAGAAGGTGGAAGTTTAATATCTCTCAAAGCAGCTGTCACACAATGATCACTCAAAATATCAGCGAATACACCTGTACCAGGGAATTTGTGAGGCATATTAGTTAGAAATAGGTCTAAGATGGAGGATTTTTCAGGATGGTTTTTGTTTAATCTAGTAGGAGAGTCGATCAATTGCGTAAGATTGAGATAAAACAATAAAAACAGTAATAAAACAAAACATTTAAAATTCAGATTACTGGTCGTTGTATTGACTTCAATCCTAATTTTAGCTTTTATGGCAGAAGAAATTGTTAATCTTAATCCTAGTTGTTCCTGCATAATCAATTTACATTTATTAGAAGCATTAGCTGCTAACTGAGAACCACATAGCATTACAGCATATTTAAAACTTCTTCAAAAATTGGAATTTACCACAGATTTCTCTTATTATTTCGATGACCTCTTCTCTCTGTGTGAGTGGTGAGAACGAGAGTAAGAAAACTTATTTTTAACTCCATATGTAACTCATGATTGCTCTTTCCTCACCGTCAGCCCTGGTTCTCCTTTTTCTCCAACTCTGCCCTGGAATCAGGAAACAGGTTTAGTACATTTTATAATGAGTTTGGGCTGAACACAGCTACTGATAAATATTTTCAAAACATTACAAATGGAATGGATGGAAATGGTCTGTACTTATATAGCATCTTTCTATCTGATCAAGATGCTCAAAGCTCTTTACAACAATCTGTGCCCTCATTTACCTCCACACACACATTCATACAGCACTCTACTATATCTCTACAAAGCTAAAGTCACAAATCATTCTATAGAGACAAATCAGAGCTTTAAATCACATTCATACATCAATATACATAGGAGGCAATGAGGGGTTCAGTGTCTTGCTCAATGACACGTCAACATGTAACTGCATAGTGGTGGAATCGAACCCACAACTCTCCCATTGGAGGGCGACCGCTGTAACCACTCAGCCACAGCTGCCCCAATACAATTACAGTCACATGCTAAAGGCACAGCTAACTCTGACAAGGCTGACAAGTCTCTAGTCTGAATGCAGTCAGGACAAACATTTGCAAACAGCCCTGAAGTGTTACATAAATAAAGTGAATCTTTAAGTATTCACACATTTTTAAAACAATTTTTATTTTATTTTTACCATTTTTTATTTCAATTTTATTTAGAATAAAATTTTGTCCTAAAACAATGTAATAAAAAAAAAAAAGAAAACGTTGGTTACGTACTGTAACCCCAGATTCTATGAATATAGGCGTAGCCCTTTAAGGCTGTCGCTGATGGGTTTATCCCGTTATGCAGAGCATAAGCACTGAAAAAAATTTAGTCCACGCCCACCTGCTGTGTGGGCCCCACCCGGTCCGTATAAATTACGTTAAGAGCGGGAAATCGGCTCCCAAAATAGCTTTTTTCTTCAGCCATTTAGGAGCCAGTGAGGCCCGACGCTTAAAGGGCTACGCCTATATTCATAGAATCTGGGGTTACAGTACGTAACCAACGTTCTATTTCATATAGGCTTCGCCCTTTAAGGCTGTCGCTGATGGGTTAAGGGCGAAGCGGATGTGGTCCTCGCCTCACTGGGTCCATTCGAACACAGTAAGAAGCGGAAGCTTGCCCAAAAAAAAACGTCTTGTCACTCAGCTCCCCGTGTGCATAACTACGCATCGCGTAATTATGTGCCATGCACAGACGCATGTTGTGTAACTATGCGTTCTGACAAAGCATGAACGCCCCGGAAAACTTTCAACGGAAAAATGTTGAAAAGAGGGGGGGGGAGGGGCATGAACCAACTGGTTCATGGCTGAACAGTATAAACAGATTAATATCCATGAATTGATTATTGATCAAATGAACTGATTGGTAACAATAGTCATGAACTGATTAGTGACAATAGAACCTAAATCACAGACAAAACTTGTGACTGATAACAACATCTCACACTGTAATGCATGCAGACAGAAGTGAGCTCAAACAGAGTTCCATGAGAACAACAATATTCATTCTGTTAGAGCACTAAGGACAGAATGCGTCATGGAACGAGCCGTTACATCACGTAGGTAAAAGCGAATAAATGAGCAGGGTGTTGACCATGCAGCCGCAGTGCAAATGTCCTGCATTGACATACCATTATGCAGAGCAGTCCAAGATGCGATATCCCTGGTCGAGTGTGCTTAGAGGTTGACAGGAGGCCCTAAATCTGATGCTCTGTAGGCTTCAGAAAAGGCCTCACACAGCCAGTGTGACAAGCGCTGGATGGATAACGGCGACCTGCAGAAGCATCTCTATAATGCACAAACAATTGTTGAGTTTGAAACGCATTGCAGCTGTGCGCGTTATGTAACACGTCAACGCCCGCACCGGGCAGAGAAGATGAAAAGATGCTTCCTCTTCTGATCTGTGGGGGGGAAAGAGACCCCTCCAACGATATCACTCTTGATTTAAAAGAGCTCGTGATGTTTTAGGCATAAAAGCTGGGTTGGTCTTAAATCAGCTGAGCTGCCCGTCAGCCTAAATTCTAAGGCATGACGAAGCAACAGAGAGGGCAGATAATTACTTACCCTCTTAGCGGGTGTTAAAGCCAGCAGCAGGGCTGTTTAAAAAGACAAGAATTTTAAGTGAAAACCTGATCCAGAGGCTCAATTGGAGCTTTGATCAGGGCTCGCAAGACCAGCGTTAAATCCCACTGTGGAGCAAGTGGACGTGAAGCAGGCCTGTGTCTCTGAACATCTTTTAGAAAAACGCTTCATCAGCGGGTGATTAAAAGCTGTTCTGTCTCCGAAACCTTCGTGGCAGGAATAGATGACTGCAACGTACGTTAAAGCGTACTGAATGCCAACTCCCTATCCATCAGCTGTTGTAGAAAAACAACACGCCGCCTAAAAGGCATGAGGTGGCCTCTAAACCTTCTCTGTACACCAGCGCTGAAAAGCCGTCCCCTTTGATGTGTACAGAACTGTGGTAGATGCAGCACGTGAATCTTGAATTGTGCACACTGAATCCTGAGGGAGACCCATCCTCTAAGTGGGACCGCTCAGCGGTCAGACCCACAGGTGCTGACCTATTTCTGGGTAACTCTTGGTCGCTCCTCCTGCCTGAAGGAGAGCATCCTCCCTCCACGGCAGTTCCACGGCGACCCGACAACAGACGTTGTAGGCCTGGGAACCATGGTGCGTTCACACGCCGGGAGCCACCAGGAGAGCTGTCAATCCCTCCTCCTGAACCTCGGTTCAGGAACCGTAAAAAACAGAGGAGGTGGGGGAAAAAACGCGTACAAAAGCGTTTTGGGCCACGGGCTGTGAGCAAATGCGTCCCCCCCCAGCGATGGATCGTCTCGCGGGCTCAGGGAAAACCATAGTTGACACTGAGCATTCTTCTCGCGTCGCAAACAGGTCCACAGCTGCTTTGCCAACTTCTGCTACGTCTGAAAACATCAGATCTGGATGGAGGGTCCGGTCCACGTGACGTGGGCCGCCCCTGGACGTCCCATCTGCCCCTCTGTTCAGAACACCGGATATGTAAAACCGCTCTAATAGAGAGCAGGTTTTGATGAGCCCAACACAGTAGCTTTCGCGCAATGTGTAACATCTGGGCTGAACGCACACCCTTTGATGGTTATGTACGCAGCAGTCATCATGTTGTCTGTGTGAATCAACACGTGTTGATTCTGTAGCACGGGAGCAAAGTGTTGAATCATATTCAGTGCTGTGCGACACTTCAAAACAATGATGTGGGCTGATGTGTAGTGGGGCCACAGCGCCCCTACTGCTTGAGATAGGCATGCCCCCCCCCCC